GCTTAAGATTTCCTAACATTTGTGTGTTACAGTATTGTTATTCTATTTGTTAGGAACATGCTATTATACAACTATATTTCTATGTTGAGTATTCTAGTTGATATATATATATATATATATATATATATATTTCTTTTCTGAATGTGAAGTTGAATTCTTTTTATCATGTGAAGTTTCAAGATCAAAGTATTAGGCTAATTACATTATCTTAAGAGAGTTTCTTAAATATAAAGTACACAGAAGGATTTATTTCATTGCCATCACTCCAATGAAATGTACAAAGGTAACTTACATTCAAAATCAGTTGTAATTTCAAAGCATGTTACAAATTGTAAAGTAAGCTTGTTACATTATAAAAATTATATTGGAATGTTAAGAAAGATCCATTTTATGCCTTGTAGCACATATATTAATGACCAAAATATTCACAATCAGTTCTGTCACATATTGATCATAACAAAGTACATTGTATAAGTTTCTGAATGTGAAATAACTTTTTTCATAGTCAAATATCTGTAGATTCCTAGTTCCTCATGCTTTGTTTTCTGTTTTTCATTGCATGCAATGTTGTTAATCTGTTGTATATTGATCAATATATTTTGCACAAGAAAATTTTTCAAACATAAATGTTTTAATTTGTTTCACTTTTGGTGTTTCTTCTTAGCTCTCATTTTCCAAAGTAAACTGTAAAACATAAAATTTAAGTTACATAAAATATTCAGTTGGCAACCTTCAGTAACCATGTGATTAATTACAAGTATCCACTTAGAAGAAAATGTGAAAAATTCAATACACATTTTTCAGGTATGAAACAAGGCAAAATATCTGTGTTTAGGGTTTTTAATGTAGTGGTATTAAAACCAAAGACAAAATTGTTACATAGTTTAGGTCAGCTGAAGTAAGTAAAATAAAGCAGATACTACACTGATTAATAATTAACTGTTTTTCTGTTGCCCCCAGTGTCACAGCGATAAGCTTGCAGACTTATAACACTTAAAAACTGGGTTTTAATACCATGGCAGGCATAGCACAGACAGACCATTGGGTAACTTTGTGCTCAACTACAAACAAATAATTAACTGTTTTTTGCCTAAGGTAGACCTTAATCATCCTACTGGCATGCATGTTGGTGTTATTTTTCCAACAGTTTGTTAATTGAATTTGCATGGGATCTGTCCATTGGACCAATTTCATATTGGAGAAAGAATGTTGACTAGAATTCTGAATTTACTTTTAGTAAAATGAAGAAATTGATTTCATCAGTCTGATTTGGAGTCTTATAAGTTGGAGTACAAGGTGATACTCATGTGAAGAATAAAAATACTTTTTTTTCTCTATTGTACATTTTGCTTGTTGAATTGCACTCTGTAAAAAGTTGTGCCATGTGCGCTTTGAACTTCACCCACAAACATAAGTTTAATAAAAACATTTTATCATGCACATTTCAACTTAAACATTGCATCTCTTATTTATGATTAAAAAGTCTCAACTTTAGAGAGTATCCATTTCTATAGTGAGAGCTTCTGATGAACAAATTACCTCTGTTCAAATGCATTTCTTCTTAACTGAGTCATTCTAAATGCAATAATTTTAAAAACATCTAAACACTGCTAAGTAGCTAAAAAATGACAGTTTTAGCCAAAGTTGTCGACTAACTGAATAGTCATTTTATTGTAAAGATGTAAAGAATAGATTTTATTTGTTTGTTTTGGAGCAAAGCCACATTGGGCTATCAGCTATGTCCTCCACAGAGAATTGATTCTGTAAACTTACCACTGTTCCACCAAGGTACATAGATTTAGTACATACTTTTTTAAGAAATGAATGAACAAATCTTTATATCCACATTAGTGTTAGGAATGAGTTAAAAAGTTTATACATCTTTTGAAATTGAAAATTGTCATGCTTGAAATGCTCTCATTTGGATTTTATCAGGTGTTTCTGTTGTAACATTGGATAAATCACTTGAAATCAACCATGTGATAGCTCGTGTTGGGGATAATGTAGAGATTAAGTGTGACATCAGTGGAACCCCACCCCCACCTATTGTGTGGCAAAGAAATAATCTTGATTTGTCAATTCTAAATGAAGAAGGAATAAAGGTATGCATTTTTTTGTTTCATTTTCTAAATCTTTCTTCTAGCCATATTATTTTAACTTGTAATAGGAAATTCATATTACCTTTCATATATTTACATTTTATACCATACTGTTCAACTGCTGGTTGTGATCATACAAAAAAGGCAAGCCCATTTTGTTTTATTTTAATTGTTTAAGGCTTAGATTTGTTATTTCAAACTAATGTACAAACTGTTTAAAACTTTGAACTCATCAAATGGTTATAGACTCTTCAAGGAAATGTTACAAATGTTACCTGAAACAGTGAGAACCTCAAATGTATTGGAGAATTAGTATTTATAGATCAAATATATGATAAGAATATAATGACAAGTAAAAGAAAACATGAATGATAGAAAGACAAAATTTATTAAAGTTAAATGCAATATTATTAATGGATTTTGAATTACTGGTTAAAAAAACTTGCAAGTTCTTACCGGTGTATGGCATGTTTTGTGCTTTGATATGAGTTGTTTGAATAATTGTTTTCAAATTTTAGTAATATTTAGTTTTTCATGTAAAATGAGTATGCATATATGCACACATATGGACAAAATAAATTAGATATCAATAATTTATTGATTTATGTTTTACATGTGGCTAAATTATAACTACAAATATATTAATGGAAATGAAACTTATTGCTTTATTAAATTTGGGAGATTGTACAGCAACACTATAACTAAAAGATTTTAAAAATTAATATTTCAGAATGTTTTAGTTCATTTTAATAATAAGTATGTTTATCATGATCACCAAGACAGTTTTAAAATGTTACGTCAATCCCAATGTACATTTTTTCTTGGGGAGTTCAAGGGAATGTTTTTCCCATTTCTTCACCAGTGAATTTCATAGGTGGTTTAGTGTGTTCAGTGGATGAGGCAGACAAGAAATCCATCTCTGAAACCGTTTTCAAATATTTTCAGTGTGTTTAAGGAATGTAAAAAATGCTGGTCAATCTGTTCTCTTGACAGTTTCTTGTTCAATGGAAGTGGTGTTCATGTATGCGTAATGTATGATCATTATCATCCATCAAATGAAATATGATCTAGTAGCATCAGAAAAAGGCCTGACAGTGATTGCCATGGTTTCACCTCTATTATGTGCAGCATTCAGAGCATCACAGATAACAAGAGTTACTATACAAGTTAATTAAAACAGAGACTGAAGAGTGTTGAGAATAACTGTGTGATGGTTTTGGGAGGAGGCATCTGTCTGTTGGATGTAATGACCTGTATACCATAAGGAATGTATATATATTGTTGCTGCCTACCTTGAGAATTGAACAGACATTATCAAGCAAAGACAAGAAAATTTGGTATATGAATATACCATGTGTTTCTATCTTCTTGTAGTATTATAATCTTTATTCTGAATTCATTATTTGTTCTAAACTTGTGCAGATTTCACATAATACACTTAGACCTTTGTCGTTCTTAAAAGTAGATACCTGTTACTACCTGGGTAAACACATTGCTTAATATGACACATTGTGTAAGTATGTTGACAGCAATGCTCTCCAATAGTTGTTCAGATGATGTCTAGAGGTTATGGCCCCATCTATATTATTATGAGACTGACCAGTCACGTGGATATCACATGTTGCTCTGCATAAATGCAATGTTTCTTACAAACTGAGAAAGGTTGCATTTAGTCAGTCTGGAACTTCATATTCATCTAATCTGTCTAGTCTTGGTATATGATGTCAACTTGAATGATTGAAGTAGAAAAACTCCAGTGAAACAATCATCCAGAGTGACTTTAACAGCAAATTCACCTGTTGTGTTTGTGTTTAATTGACATAATAAAGATTTTTCATTTTCTTTTACACTTCATCTGAAATCAATCCAGTCAGTAACAAGGTGACTACTAGTCCATAATCAATATCTTGATTGAATCCTTAGTTATCAAGTGGATCTATCTGGTGTAGCTCTAGTGTTATTTCAGTTTTACTGCAAGTACACAATAAGTATAATTTTCTTTCATAGTTTATAAGTTATAATTTAACTACTTGTAAAACACATAACAACTTCCTCATTAATACATATTAGGCTTGACATGAAGTACATAAACTAAAGTCAAGAGAATATTAATAAATGAATTTAATTCCTTAACAGGTGTTTGTAGATGGCTCCTTGTACTTGACTAATGTTCAGTTGGTTTATGGTGGAAATTACACATGCTATGCACAGAGGAACAAAGATGTTTTCCAGACACACATTTTACATGTTCATAGTAAGTGTTTGATTAAAACACATTATAGTTGTTGTTTTTTATTTCATCTTCATCAAATGAAACTTGGCCTTTTTTGATGTAGTGCTACTAGGTTTTAAAGGGCCCTGGAGTAAAAAATTATGAATAGGCAGAACAGGTTTAGAGCTTACAATTCCCAATTTTCTTATTCAGCTAAATCCAGAGGAAATGATTTTATTATTCCCAGAATTTGAGATTCTAAAAAAAAACAAAAACTATGTTACCTCTGACATGTTGAAATATAAAAAAATTAACAGAAATATATTTAGTTCTGTTGATTAAAATAATAGATTCCCCCTTTCCTTAGTTACAGAAAATATTGTACTACATGGATATATCTGCTGTATCATTTAAATCATATTGTCCTATAGTGATATAAAGTATCTACTTTTTAAGCAATATTGTACTGTATAAATATAGAGTATCTACTAAAGCTTTTTAAGCAATATTGTACTGTATAAATATAGAGTATCTGCTAAAGCTTTTTAAGCAATATTGTACTGTATAAATATAGAGTATCTAGCTAAAGCTTTTTAAGCAATATTGTACTGTATAAATATAGAGTATCTGCTAGAGCTTTTTAAATATTATTGTACTGTATAAATATAGAGTATCTACTAAAGCTTTTTAAATATTATTGTACTGTATAAATATAGAGTATCTACTAAAGCTTTTTAAATATTATTGTACTGTATAAATATAGAGTATCTACTAAAGCTTTTTAAGCAATTTTGTACTTTATAAATATAGAATATCTGCTAAAGCTTTTTAAATAATATTATACTGTACAAGTATGAAATATCCATTAAAACTTTTTTAATCATACTCTACTGTTAAACTATAAAATTTCTGCTAAAGCATTTTAGGTAGATTGTACTGTATGAATATAAAATATTTGCTAAAGTGTTTTAGGTAATATTATACTGTATGAATATAAAATATTTGCTAAAGTGTTTTAGGTAATATTATACTGTATAAATATAAAATATTTGGTAAAGCTATTTGAATAATTTTGTTTCACACTCAATGAAAATTTTGAGGTTTACTCTCTTCTTTTTCATGCCATTCATTAATCAAATCAAACGTTTTCGTATTTTCATCTTTTTTTGCAAGTAATTCTGAAATTCAGAGAACTTGTTAAATATATAAATGTTCCTGCTAAGTAACTGTTCTTTTACAAAGGTGTAAAATTTAGGATTATCATTTGAATGATCTTACAAACACAAATATTTTCTCCATCTTTCACAGCTTTGCCTGAGGTTCATATCATTCCAAAGCTGCAATCACGATCTCCTGGGGAGTTTGTTGAAATGGAGTGTCATGTGGCTGGTGTACCTACTCCAAATGTGTCATGGCTGAAGAATGACTATGAACTGAGAGTTGAAGATGACAAGTATACTATTGTGGGTAAGTACATTTTCTTTTTTAAGAAATGACTTTAAAGTTGTAATAAATAAGGGTACTATGTAGGTTGGTACATTAGTTATATATATCAGGTGTGGTATTACGTAAGTTATTTCAGAAACAATTAAGAGTTACTTAAAACTTTAATAAGTTGAAATTTTAGGAGAACATAAAAATAATATTGATTCTCTTTGATTAATAGTGTAACTTTTAAAGAAAACATAAAACAAATGGGATTAAAGCTTGATGTATTAAAAATATTCAATAAAACATAACATTACCATAAATGAATTGAGCATAAAAGTAGAAAATTAATATTTAAGAGATTTTTTTTTAATTAAGGGGGAATAAATTTAGTTAGATCATTTGAGATACAAGTGATATTCAAATGCTCAATAAAACAAATGTTTTTGATTTGAATTTTTAGGTAATGGAACTGCCCTCTTAATTGGTAAGGTAACATACAGTGATACAGGAGCATACATGTGTGTAGCCTCCAACTCAGCTGGATCCATGAGAGATATTAGCTCATTGGTTGTTCAAGATCAACCTACTCCAAGTATGTTCTACAGTGAAAGGATGAAAAGTCCTTCAAAAGTTTCCTAAAGATACACATCATTTACATGTTCCTTAAAATATGTTATATTATTACTTTTGAAGGTTTTTATGAAGCTTCTTTGGACATCAGTTGTGCAGTTGATAAAAAAGAACAACAATGGGGAAGTTAAATATGAACATTACTAATTTTAAATAAACTAAAACTATATAATAACCAAAAAATTTTTACTTTATGTTTTGTTAATGAAGTACAAAAAGTCATCTTTAAAGTTAATACATTTGACTTAACTAAAAATTACCATACTTGGAAGAAGCTGTTTGCCAAATATCAAAATTAATTAGAAGTTAAATACATACTAGGCTGTACAACAAACTTCTCTGTGTATAAGTAGAAATAATTCCATGTTTTCATGCTAGGAACCTATACTACCTATTGAAATATTCTATACTGATCTGTTCAAGCAAGATCTGTTCAGACACACACACATTTACACAATCTCGCTTTACAGAGTATTATGTATTAAATAGGTTTTAAATATAACTAAATTTCTGCTTTGTTAAAATATTTCTAGTTCTTACATTTTATTAAATAAAATAATTTAAGTATACAAACAAGAAGAAAACTGGAATAAACATTAATTTTAAGTTGCTTTAATAAATTGATTATAGTTGAGAGAGTTCATAATATGCATATGCATGTGTGTGAATGTGTATCAGTGTGTTTGTTTCAATGTATCTATTTAAATATATAAATATTTTATGGCAGACCATTGTTATACTTCAGTAATGGAACTACAGTTTTCTGCATTTTTATTGAGAGACCATAATTGTAGAATATCTGTTTGTTTAAAAAAGAAAAGGGGTCAAGGTTTGTAATATTTCTAAGTCATCTCAGCTTGTGTATCTGAATATTGTGCTTTAATATTAATAGTAAAAACCACAAAAATCGAATTTTTTTTGCCTCAATGAAAGGTAAACTCTTTATTATTAGTTACAGTCAACTAGTTTCGGTAACACAGTTACCATCATCTGAGTTAGTGACTACCATAATGAAGGTAACTGTGTTACTAAAACTAGTTGGCTGTAACTAATAATAAAGTGTTTACCTTTCATTGTGCCAAAAAATGTCAGTTTTGTGTTTTTTACTCTTAATATATTAGCACAATGTGCATGAAAAGAAATTATTGTACTTTGAGTCATATCATTCATTTGATGTCAGATACACCACAACTTATAAAATTCTAAAATATCACAGTAAATGCGTATAACGTAGCTAAAGTTTATGTGGATTTTTTATTCTAGCTGCTGCTCCTGAGGAGAGACGTTTCTTTGCCTTTCATGATTGGGGTGTGTCTGTTTACGATCCTGATAATTGCCGCCTCTACCATCAAATGCAGAGCACCGATATAATTCCTGGTACCCAGGAGTATGTGTGTGGTGACCGAGGCATCAAATGCTCATGGGGAAGGGCCATAAATGTGGCTGATCGTTATGTTTATGTCTCACAACCTACAAAAGACAGAATTCTAATCATATCAAGGGTTCAGATGGTAGTTGTAGATGTATGTATGTTTCCTTATCTACTAGTTAGGAAGCTAACTCAGTTGTATAATTGAATATAAAGAGTAGTCTTTATATACATACCTACAGCAGAATGATATATAAATTGTGCACCATCTTGCTATTTTTAACTTGTCACTACGATTTTTGAAAAGCATGTTTTTGTTTAACTAACTGTCAGTTTTTATTTTTCTAAAATAATTGTCGAGATGTTATTAACCTTGCAAGGATTTGTGGCAGTGATGCTGCTGTGCAATGATATCAATCATGCATATACATGTTTCCAATAAATTAAAGATGTAAGGTTGTGTGAAAAGTCATGGTGGTGCTGAACTTTTACTTTATCCTGTATATATATGAGAATGTATTATATTTTTAGCATGAACAGACTGTATGCCAATGAATGTGGAGTTACTTTTAACATTATTAACTATATAGGAAGACAATTTTGTAAGCAACCTCACTGTTATGTTGTTTTCTTAGAACAAAGCTGGGAATCAAACCCTGGATTTTAACATTGTAAATCCATAAACTTACCACTGACCCACCAGAGGACCTCAGTGTTATGAAGCATGACTTTTGTGCAAAAAAACGAGAATATGTGATGACTAATGATAAATTATAGTTCTATAATTTAGGCAAATGAATTGTAGAAGTTGTTTTTCAGACTGGTTGTTATTACAAAAGAAAATTTCCTACTTTTACATAATCTATAAAAAAAATTGATCCAAATAGGAAAAAGTAAATATACTGTGCCTGAAGCAGATAATATTTAATTTTTTCTTCTGCACTCTAAAGTTAACATGTATTTATGAAAATGATATTTCATGTAATCACTTGATATAGCACTGTAGCTGAAACATGCCTTAAAGAATTTAGGCATGTAACATTATCTTTTTTTCAGGTGGTTGTTACAGATAAATATCCTGTAGACCTGTATTATGTCCCTCATCTTGACCAAATATGGCTCACCTGCTGGCGAGGTCCAGATGATCGAGGAACCAAAACAATCCAAATAATCCGTGATGCAAGTCAGAAGAGAAAACACCATACTGTTCACCCTGAACCTGTGGATGGACACTTTGACTTAGTAAGTGTGGGCTGATATATTTAAAGCTATTTTGCTAAACAGCTTGAATCCATAACACATACTTTTTTTTTACCATTAATGCTATGGTTACTTACATTTTTTGTACACCTGAACTTAGTTTAAATGCTGATTTTTGGATTTCATTAAAGGACAGTATAAAAGGATTGAAAGAGTTAAAGAAAAGTATTTATTTTTAACAAATAAAATACTAACACATGTGTATTACTTATGCAGAATTTCTAGCTTTCGAGCTTTGCTATAATTTTCTCACACAAACTAGTACCTTACATTTACTTTATTGAAGTAGTATTTTCTATAATCAATACTCAGAAACTTATGTGAAAATGTGGATATTTTGCTTACTAATATATTTGAGTATGAGAATAAAGGGAAGAGAAATAAAAAAGAAAAAGAGATCAGAATTCTTGATCTATATTATTTTTGTGTCATACATTTGCAAATATTTGATTGTATAACTAAAAATTAGAACAAAGTAAATTTTAATGCTTTAAATAAAGATTTCTGTAGGACAATATATATTTCTTCTAACTTAGGTGAGTGAACTGTTCATCCCTCTGACTCAAGACTTTCGACATCCATGGAAATATGGCTTTGCTGTCCACACCAATCAGAGGGGAATGTATAAACTACACCTGAAAGAAATGAAATATGTGAAAACTGTGGATTTAACTCCTTATAACTGTGCACCTCGCAATGCAGCTTTTGCTGCTGTTGGTAAAGAAGGAACCATATAATTAATTTTTTAAAAATAATTGAAAACTTATTTTTATATTCAAGTTGAGACTTTTTCAAAATGACCTTTTCCAAGTGAAGGATAAAAATGCTGGTTAGTTATGATTATTGAGTTTTTTAGTAGCCACTTGTTAAAGAAAAAACATTTAATAGAGAGACAGTTTTACTTAACCTACTGTATTTAATGGTACTTAGGTGCACTGGTAAACATCAGATAAACATCAAGTATCTGCAAAACACAGGCTCTGAAAATGTGTTGGAAAGAATAAAATAAACATAGAGAGAAAAAGATGTAAAAAGAGACAAGTAAACATATGAACAAATCTTTATTCATATATACAAATAATTTTCTACTTAGTTGGCTTGCTTTTGTAATCATTGAATTGGCAGCTAGTGTAGAGAGTAGTATGAAATCATGTTTCCATGGGACAAAGATGAAATCAAGAATAATTCACATCTTCTTTGGACATTCATTGCATATTTTGATAAATACATTATATGATGGGAGTAACAACTGAAAAATAACTTTATAATTTATTTAACCCATATTTCTCTTTCACCTTCAGTGTATTCAATTATTTCTTGTTACAGGAGGATATATTATCTTGGAATGCATTGAGCCAATCACCCATCGACCTACAGGACAACTTGTCTTGGACTATCTTACAGATATAGTTGTGTCTCACAAGATTAACTTGTTTGGGAAACCTCATATTTCTCCAGATTCTCGCTTTGTTGTAACTTTAGAAAGAACCAACACTAGTGTCATAATTTTTGCCCAAGAAGTAACAGAGCAAGGTGGGTCTCTTGTATTTGTCACAATAAAACAGCCAGTTATATAAATTATGATAATACATATAAGTTATAGAAATACTTGAATTAAGTATGGTAAATAGGTTTGAAGTTAATGTGTAGGAAATTTGATGATTATAGGAAATATTTAAGTATAGATGGAGCCACCATCATTAAAATAGTATCTCTAAAACTTTTTGCTTGCTTATAAACACCTCTCAAAAATGAACTATAATCTCGTGATTTATATAATACTGTATGCATAAAACTTCCGGCCAATATGCGTATTTTTACAGCATATTTATCATTATAGCTAGCGAGTGCTGTTCAAAAACTATGATAATTAGAACCACAATACATACATTTCTGAGATTAAATAAACATAATTTGATGCTTATTCAAAATAAGAAATATATCACTCAATATAAATTACCACAAATACACATTTTAAGTTGTTTATGTGCCATTGAAATAAAGATTAGTTCAGAACCAAAGCATTTCACAAGTTACAGAAGATAACATTAGTAGCAGGGGCAGATTAAAGGTCAAATAGGCTACAGGCCTACTATGATAATGACTAAAGACTAAGGTAAAAAACTAAACCTCAAGATATGTTTTGCTTACAGAGACAATGGGAAAATAATTCCCAAAGACTTGCAAAAGTTGTCTACAAATTAATGAACTATATTAGATATTTCTTGAATAGGAAAAGTGGTGCTCTAACACAGTCAAAATTTGCAAACCATACAGACAGAAAAAATCCACATACACATAAACTCAACAACTCTCGCATTCACATGCTCACACACACAAACAAGAAAATGCACAGACATACACGCACATGCTTAGATCACACCTGTATTAGCCAGCAGTATTAGTGGATCATGTCATTGGTACTTAGTTAAGCTATTGTCTTCCTGGCTCTTTTTGCAATTCCTGCACGAATTTCTTGAGAGGTTTTAGTAGATTAGAAGCTGTACTGACATCCATTTGGGAATTTTGTAATGAACAACTTCTCTTGTGAAGCCTCTCCAGGATAATGCTCAATAATTCCGTCATTATACCTGCTTCTAGTTATTCCAATTGGAGCATAAGGTTTCTTGACTCTTAAGTGCACTTGAAGCTTTTCAGAGTCATCGTCTGTAATCGAAGCAAGGACTTGCATTCTGGCTTTGTACCCCATTTTAAAGGCTTGTATTGCATCTGAATGAGCACTCCATCTTGCGTCTGATAACCTCTTTATCGTCAAGAACCCTAGTTTTTCAAGTGCATCGTATAGGTGCTTCCACAGCCAGGTTGAAACTAAGAAGAGAGCATAAAACTTCTGCGTAAAGGAAAGGAATATACAAGCTTAAGTACAGCAGTCCACAGCACATTGTCCAACCAAATTGAGTTAATGAGCACAGCAGGGAACATAGTCTGTTAATGGAATCCTTCTCTTTGATCAAGGTTTGAATGCATTGTCATACAATTTCCCATGGCAATCTTGAATTCTTATATCATTCTTTTTAAGGAAATTAATGAGAACTTTAGCAAGTTCTGCTCCTGTGTGACAAATCTCTCTATTGGGCCATCATCTAGAATTATCTAAAGATTGTTGTCAGTTGATCCATATAAGATATTTCTGGAGTAGAATCAACAGACACTGAGTAATACTTGAATGTGTTGATTTCCTGGATAATGGTGGTAAGAACATCTTTGTTTAGGATTTTTATGAATTCATCACAAACAGTTGAGAATAAGCATGAAACATGACATTTTCCCTTAATTGTGCATTTTTGAATGTGTTCAGCAAGAAATGTATCATACTTAGCCAATAGCTCCACTGTTCCTAAGTAATTGCCATTATGCACTGAAACAACTACTTGATCACTTCATCTGAATGCTAGTCCACTGAATGATATAAATTTTATGACTGGGAGAATATGCTCTAGAACTGGTGCCAGTATTTGTTATTCAACTCCATCTGCTCTGTTAAAGTCTTGTTGATTTGTCCACTTTTGGTTTTATGAGTAACAAATTTGGTGGTGCAGCAAACTTGTTTCTTGCCAATTAAAGTCCCTTGTAGCATGTTTCCAGTCAGAGTAACTAGTTGCTACTAGTGAAGAAATTTCCATTGCTGTAGAAAACAATTTGCATATAATGCAGAAGACATTCCCCTTTGACGGTGAATAGTAAAGCCAGTCTCTTTTAACCCTTTCTCCATTTAGTTGCTCTCAATAAAAGTCTTTAAGCATTAGCATTTATACTTGTCACCCAGAATTATGTAAACACACTGAAATCTGCATCCATTTACTGGCAACAGTTAACCTCCGACACACAAACAAAATATCTTATTTCATCATTAACTTGTGTCCATGTCACAGAGTTGGATGTAAAAGATGGGTTAGTAATTTCATCACCATTGCAATAATAGATTTCTTCCTGTTGGTAGGGGCTCAGTTCAACTTGATGAAGTTCATGGTCATTAGCATTGAGAATTGTTGTTTATACATGACAGTCTTGGTTGCTGGTTATGTCTTTGGCACTTTCTGATTGAGGGAAAGGGCTCGATTTTATATTTAAATGCCCTCCTGAAGATCATCATTAGTCACTGAGGGAGAATTACTACAGTTGCTTTAGCAGCACTTGCCACATCCTACTGAACAATTAAGTCAGTGTTTTCAGCATGTGCATCACTTGGTATCACAGTTAGTTTTTGCAAATACAACGAATTACTTTCAAAAGACTATCAGGTGCAGGTGGCAAGAATGATTTTGTAGGAAATAGCTTATTGGCTGTGTAATACCCCCAATTTTGTGGATCTAGATTTTTGGTTTTTTCCAATCCATTCTTGGCACTGCAAATATGCTCTCATACTTTGGAATCTTGCTGCATCAGAGGAAGATGGCAATGTTTGTATTTGTACACAAGAAGTACTGGTGGAAATCTTAGTAACAAATTTTCAAAATCGAAGTAAATCTAGTCCTTCATATGGTAATCCTCCATATAAACAGACAATGTCCTCCTCTCCAGTGTTGATGCCATTTTCTACAGTTGAAGAGCTTCTCAAAAAAGACTTCAGCTTGTTCTTTCAATTGAATGTTTGTTCTAAGTTTCTTTAGAACCAATGCTTTACTGATACCATATAAGCGAGAAGTTGTATCACAACCCGAAATTGTATGAACAAATGGCCAAAATCAACAAGTTTCTTCTCCTAAATCATTTTTGGTCGACTTTATGCTTCAGATTTTGAATTTCTTTGCATTTTTTGCTGCGATTCATATTTTATGTAAATGTTGTTGGATTGTAAGTCTGTATGGAAACAAAACAGTCAATAAAATCTACGTCTTCTCCAACAAATACAAATTCAAGGTCTCTTATTAGTACCGTAAGTTACTCCAGTTTTAACTATCAAAAGATCAGCATCTACAGTAGCCTGGATCATCCTGCATCCATTTACTAAAAGCTCACTACTTAATAAGTTGATTAGATTTTGTTTATTTTAAATGTTTGAAAGAAAATTTTTTCTTTGTTTTGCAGGACATGTCTTCTGTAAATATGACTTGGGTTGACATTGCTCCTTGTTTTCTTCTCAGATGTGTAATGTCTTTTGCTGCAGGACCCTCTAAGTAACTATCAAATACAATTATAGGGTCAATGCATTTTTCATTAACATAATTGATGTAGATACTACATATGTTTCAAAAAGATGTACCAACATCTAAAACATACTGAATATTACCGTTTGGCACTTCTGCTACTCTGCATTCCCATAGAGCCCATTACCATTAACTTTGATGTTGATATTTTATGCTCATTGTCACAACTTGACTTTTTAAACATATATTCTAGTATATTTTGACCTGTCATGGACTGAACAATTTCCATGCCATCTTATTTGGCTTTGTCTGCATTGACACTTTCGTCTGCTGTGACTCCTGTTTCAATGCTGTAAAGAGAAGGATCATCAAGAAATGGATTTCGTTCTTGAAGGAAAGATAGAAGTTTATGTGTCCAAATTGTCTTGTTTCTGTCTAGAATATGACGTTTCCTTATGTTGCTCACTTGTAAGGAAACCAACTCTCGTTAAACTTTGCATGGATATATTCATGTCAGCACATAACAGCACTGAGAGAAGCCACTGTGTTTGATGTACCTCTGTCATGCCACGACCCCTTGTCAAACCTCCAACTGTTTTAACACTTCTTATTAAACTTGTTCAATAACAATGTCAGTTGATAAGCCTGCCCAGAAGCAATCACTCCTTCTGAAAACATGCTGACCAGCTCTGAAGTTTTCAAACACATCTGGATGCTCTTCCTGTAGACCTTGCATCATAGTAATGTAAACATAGACTAAATTAGCATACAAATTGTGGCCAGTGGCAGCAAAATATGGCAACATTTCTTGAAGGCAATGCATATGGAGTTCCCAGTTACCTGTTCTTTCTGCCTTTATAAACCTCCTAAGAATGTCCATCATCTCTGAATATATTATCCAAAACAATGCAGTGCAATTACTTTCCAATGAATGTTTCTCTTCTCGCAGACTTGTTTGAATATTATCCAAAACTTTACTTTGTCAAAGTTTATTGATGGATATAACTTCTTGTTTAAAAGTTTGTTATAGAGCTGAGCTGAAGCTGAAATGACGTCATGGTGTTGGGAATTTATTTGGTTTTCTATCATTGACTGCATTCTGTTTGATGACACAAAAGTGTTATCCTCTATATTATGATCAATTTTCAACATTGATTCTGTTTCAGTGAGTTTGTTCATTACCCTATCAGACTCCAACATGACTTCAGTACAACTAATTTCTTCATTGTTTATTGCATTAACACTGGATATTGGGATATTAAAAGTCCTTCACATGAGAAGTGCATTTATTGCTGTATCTACTAACAGATGTCCTCTAACTGCTCTGGCTAAAGCTTTCCCAGTAAGCATATGTGATCTAGTATTTGATGCATATACAGTTTCCAGAACTTCACTTAGGCCTGATCCACTCATCAGATGACCAGTGCTACCAAGAAAACTCATATGTGTTTGAAATCATCCTAATCGAAGAACAATTGACTTAAGTTCACTACCTAACAATTCAACGCTGTTGATTGTAAATCCCTTCCAGTAAAGAGGTTGATCAAAGATCAGCACTGTATTAGATCCATAATGTCTTGCCCGTGTGCATACAAATTTAATTTTTGAATAGATGCATGATAGATCACTTGGGTCCATATGAATCATTGGAAAGAAGGTAAAAGCTGACTGACCTGGATATTCACTACTCTGTACTATCTGCATAAATCCAGACCAACTTGGAATAGGTGAATGAATCACCCACACAGCTTTACACAATAAGTCCAGCTTCCATGTTGTATCTGTTGTTCTAAGACTTTTCAGCTCTGAAAATTTCCTAGTTGCCATTTTGTTAAATGGTGGTTTATAATAGCTAATGTTACTTTTTTGAGAACTTTAAGGTTATCTGTGGAAACTTCAAACCTTGGAATTGCAACCAAACGTTGACACCAGGTGTAACACCAACAATGAGTTCCATTCCATGAAATGTGTTGTAACCCATTCGTCTCTTACATTGCGATCAACATTGTAGGCTGCATATGAAGGAAGTTTCCAGGAGCAAAGCCTGAAACATCAGTACCTTAGACAGCAGCTGCACTTGATTAAAATCTTTGTACTTTTGAATATGATGAACAGAATTCCAGACTATTCGGTGTCAATTAAAAACTTTAACACAAAGTGATGATTAAGTTGTACACCTAGTCCAATCTGCAAAGAAGCAATATTCATTCTAGGTCTTGCAGCTTGTACAATCGCCTGGCCAATTGCTGATATCTTTAAATCAGCATATTTTTCACTAAAATGTTTTCAGAAATATTCTTAAACTTTCTGGAACATAGCCATTGTGTAGCTTTGTGCTTAACTATAAACAAACAAACACTTCAGCCCCCCTGGAAAATGAGAAACATAATTCTTTATTTATTCATTCAGCATATGCATATGAATTGCTTATTCAATTCACAATTTCACACTACTTTTCCCCCACAGAAAACTTTGCCCTTCCCTGGAAAAGTTTCTGTGGATGCCCATGCACTTCAGTTGCCCATTCATCTTTTTGTTTGTTACATATTTGCTCAAATTATGCTTGAAATTTGTGTGTTCTTACAGGGTAAACATTGTGACCTATTTTCTTTCCTGAAGTTTTGGCTTCCTGATCACAAAAAAAAAGACAATGATCAGCAAAGTTAAACATCAATTTTGAATGCAAATTAGGAGTGTTGTTCTCAGCTACTTTTCTTCTTTTAGAACTTTGAATACTTTTTGGGTGACAGTATACTCTGCGACATTCCTGGTGTACAAACTGACCACTCACTGCTGTAATAGCTTCACTGCATTCTTTGTTTGCATTATTGATTCCATTGCTGCCCTTATCACCAAGCCTTACAAATGGTTTTCCTTTGTCCAAAACTTCATAGCGTACAATACATTTATCCATGATAACCTGAAAGACGAAAAATACATATATATATATTGAATCAATGTTTTACATTTTAATTTTGTTTCTTGTGTGATACTATTAAATTAGTGATTATTCAACTCTTTTCTTGAACAAAATACAAAGCGATTCAGAATAAAGAATTGAAAGATATAGGTATCTTCAATCTAGTCAACTAACTAAAACACAGCTTTTGAAGCTTTGTACTGTCACTTTTGATTTGTGTTTTAGTGAATGCTCCTGAAGAAGCTGTAAAGTGAAACGTTGAGTATCTAACTGAATAAAAACAACATTTTGGTGTTATAAGGTTGTTTATTTCTAGTATTAATATGTCTTCTATACCCCAATATGCACTACAAAAATTAAATAATTGTAATGAAAATGTTGAGTGAAGAGATATTGACTGACCAAGGCCTATTATTCGATTACCGTAACTATGTTTTAGCCTCGCTTAGATCTAGTATATTTGCATTGCAAATTGTATGCAAATATGCTAAGTCAGAGCGGGACTATACCTAATCACACTATTCGAAGGTAAGCCAATCAAATATATGCACTCTACATTGCATGATAGGCCTCCACAAACTCTCTCTCATTATTTTTCACTCTCTTCAAAGATAAGTAGACTCGGTTGATTGATTTTTAATAAGCACTTTCTTAAAAAAAAAAAAAAGAAGAAGACAAGGCTTTGTTTTTTATATATATAATGGGCCTGGGGCTACAGCTCCAATAGCCACCATCTTAAAAGTTAAACCACCCCTGATTAGTAGGTGTGATGTAAATGCTAGTATCTTGGTTTTGTATGGATAAATTAAATCAGCTTTGAACTGTTTGTGATTAAATTACTTTGTTTCTTGCTGCTTGAGGCTTATATATGCATAATGTAAACATTAAATTTGTGAATTTATTAATTGTACTACTCCAGAAAGTTACAATTTGTATACTCATACCTATATTATTAGTGTTATTAATTTGACTTTGGACTAATAATAGTAATATAATTATTAAAAATCATATTTTAAACGTTTTTCTGTCAATGCTAGTATTTAACAACAACATAAAATTATGTTACAATTCTTGACACTTCATATAAGTATTGATTTTACAGTCCAAAACTTATATAAAAAAAAGTTTAAATGTTTTTTGTATGTAAGATATATTTAAATCTGTTAAACTCTATAGTTCAGGTTTACTGTGAGAAAAGTTTTGGTCAGCATACTCAAATTTCAATTTTCTATCACAAATATATTTGGTATCTCTTTTGTAGGCTTGCAGTTTTTGTTTGATGTGAAGACAACACTGCAGATTAGTGACATCGCCTATTTCCCATCTCCCACCACACAAAGTTATGATTTGTATGCTAGCTCTTCTAATAAGGAAGACATCCTCTTTGTTGATCTAGCCAATGGGAAAGTAGAAATGGTCACTGGCATTGGACAAGCCATGGACCCAGAGGTAGCAGAGTGGAAAAACACAAACCGGCCAATGACCAGTGCAGGAATCTTTGGCACTTACATGGTGACCACTGCCAATGAAGCCATCTTTGTGGTGAATGGTAAAACAAGAACTGTGAACTGTGAAATTGGAAATATTGTCCATCCTCGATTGATGGTTTGGGTGAAGTCATCATGAAGTCTTCTTTTTTGGATGAGATGCTGATGATTTCATATGTTTGTTCAGTTTAAGCAAGTTAAACTGTCAAATTAGTTTATTATAATGTTGTGGTCTGCTTGTCTACTTCACATAGAAGGACCTGCTAATGGCAACTTTATTGAAAATATATTATTTCAGTAAAAATCTCAAATATTAAGTTACTTGATACCTTTTGTGATTTATGTTTATATACATAATTTTACTTCATTAAGAACTGCAAGAACTGAAATGCTCTATCTAGTAACTTTAATTAAACCAAATGTAAGTTTTTCAGAAGGTCGGAGAATAATCACATCTATTTACTTAAATTGCTTACCTTAATTATAAACTGTTAATAACTTTTTATTTAGCTCAGTTTTTTTGTTGTTGTTTTTTGTAATCAGTATTGTATGAATTGCTGAAATTCACTTTCATGCATTTTCAAAGAAAAATCTAGTCAGAGGTTTCTCATCTCTAAAAATATTATTTAAACTAAACATTTTTTTTTAATATAGATATAGCATTTCAGAAAATAAAAAATGTGTTTTGTAGCATTATAATAATCTTGCTTGTAAGAATGAAAGAAACTTAGCTGTGTGTAAACTTACAGTATGCAAGTTATCTGTGTAGAATTATGTAATTGAAACTATTAAATGAGTGAATAACGTGGGTATCTTGAGGCTTTGTGAATTTTTCAAAACTTATAACACTCCAACTAGTAATGTAACTTAAATTTTGGTCTGATTCTTATAAAACATGTATATCTAATATATTTAGTTTTTGAAGTGTGCATCTATTCTTGCAAATAAAATATTTCAGTAAATTCAGTCAATTTTTCTCTAGATGTTATCACGCTGCAATGTTTCTTGTGAAACTAAATGTATTTTCTTTGTCAGTCTTGGCCATTGCTTTCAGTAAAGTTACATATATATATAATATATATACTTTGTTTGTCTGTGTCAAAATTTGCTATTGCTTCCAGTGACATTATATATATATATATATATATATATATATGCTTTGTTTGTGATGTCAACCTTGGGCTTTGATTGCAACAGTTGTATGTAGTATACCTTTTTTTTTAAGTGATTTATGTGTTGTCATCATGCAAAAATATTTCTTGGTTAAAACCTAGCAACATTTAATACAGATATGTTAGAATATAAAGATTGTCTGCCAATCTACAGGGCACAGTACTGCTCTATTCTTCTTGTAATTTAAGAAAAGAAACTTAGTTAAATATAAGAATGAGACTGCCAGATAAAATCATTACGATTTCTTTTTTTTGTTGAAAATCCGTATTCTTTTTTAAAGAAGCATTTTCTAAATGAAATAGTTTCACTTACTTGAAAATTTTATATCGGAGAGATTTAGATTCTGTATTTCACTCTCCCAAATTTGTAGGTCAAGCAGTGTAGTTGAACCTTATTAACTTCAGGCTTAAGTCACCTGTGCTGTGTAGTGACACTTACATATACTCACTTTTATAAATATGTTAAAAATACTTTTACAATTTCATCAATAACAAACTTGGACTGCTGATTTTTAGTAGTCTGTATTTTTGTTATTGTATTAAACAATGGTATAGTGAAAGAAAAAAAAAAGATAAATTTTACTACAGGTACAATTGATGATACTGCATGTGTGTGTGTGTGTGTGATATGGCCTGAATTACTAGAAGTTCATAAATATTAATTGGCAGCCTGTGATTTTTTTTGAAATAAGATACTGTAAGTTTTTAAAAGTAAAGATATAAAAGAATGTTGTACTTCAAAAGAATACTCAAGTCAATGGGAAGCATTGGCCATGTGTAAACACTGATCTTTATGGCTACTCTGAAAGTGTGCAAGTACATTGTAGGTATGATAGAAACTTTAAAATTATGCATAACAACCATATTCATTGAACCAAGTTTGGGTTATTCCACCAGGATAGGTTTTAGTTTTGAAAGTCACATATAAAGCTAATTAAGAATCAAATCACCAAGAATATATTGTTGTCAAAGACAGTATATGTGAAACTGTTTATCAACAATAATGTTCTGATGCATGTGCTATGATGGCAACATAAATATCATCCAACTGCCTTCTTCCACAATCATCAGAAGTAATACTACACGTAGAAGGTTATGATAGAAATTGGATCCTCTTCACACTTTACAATCACAAATGGCTGAAGAATATTTTGATTTATACTGGTCAATGTGTGCTATAACACCAGCTTGTACTTTTAGATTTGGGGAATCTTTAAAGGCCATTTTTGCCCTTTTAAGGAAAGTAATTTTGGAGTAGCCACAAAGCTGGAAAAGTTGGGAAATTTGAGAAAGGGGTAAAGAAAATCAGAAAATGCAGGAAAACTATGCCCCCCCATCTCATTACAGGCACACTGCTTAGCTGTGCCCGTTATTGGTATGTTTTACCGTAATCTTCATCAATCACTTAATAAGAACTCCCGAGTGAAAATATAGTCAACCTCACTATATCTGATACTTCCAGTGTTATTTTATTTGGCAATAATTATCCAATTCGTTATATTTCATAATGAGTTATATCACATTCTTTTACAAATAAAAATGGAACATTTTATTGTCTACCATAGTTGCAATGCCCTTGTTTGTAGATTATTTCTGTAGTAACACAATATGAAGTAATTATGTTCTGAAGTTTTTATTACCTGTTATAATCAGATTACAAACTAAAATGTTATAAATTAGGTAGAGTTATAATGAAAATTGAAAAGTCAGCATGTCATATACATGTACACATAGATCTGGAAAAAAATATTTTTTAAAGTGTGACCACCTTAAATTTTAAGTATTTTCATATCATGGGGAGATGTACCAGTGTAACAGCAGATGTGTGTTTTATGGTATGGATATGGGCAGTTATTGATCTTTTGAACTTGAAACCTTTCATAGTATAGATAAATAATTGAGAATGCACCCAAACTATGACAAAGACTTACCAGTTGTAAACTATTTATTCTTGTAAATTACAAACAGTAATAAAGTGCAGAATAAAATCATCTCTTAAAAATTATGTGAAGAGAGCTTGCACCATTCATCGTGGTGAAAGATGTGCAGACTTTGAAAGTTACTGAATTTCTTTACAGACAATTCCTTGTGTTTAGTTCACAAAAAGTTTCATATGTGCCAGTAATTAACTTATTTAATCTTGACAACCTGAATGAAGAAAATATGCCATGCCATCTTTTTTTTTATTAGAATATTGACTACAGGTTAGACTAAACTTTTCTTTTACTTCATAATTGAATACTTTCCAGGGGCTGTGCATACAAGAAGCTTGGGAAGGCTTAGCCTTCAAAAATAAATTGTCCCTCACAGGGCATTATTGTCACCAACTCAAAAATACAATATAGTATGTATAGGGACAGAGAAAGAGCAAAAGAGGGTGTATGCATGAACTGATTCTTATCAACTGTGCAACCGCTCACACATGACAGAATAGTATACACAAACAAAAGACTCACGCACCGCCACTGCTAAGTGCTATTTGGAAACGAAGGTCAAATATATTAAACTTCTTGGAAATAATATTGCTGTGTACCTGTACATACATTTGGATATAATGTTGGACCAACTTATAATTCTTTCAGTTATTATTGATGTTTCATTGTCAGTCATGTATGTGTATTAAGTACACTAAAAAAAATGGATAGCTTACACAATTTTGATGTTTGTCTAATTCCTGTGGCACTGTAGGTTTCAATGTATAAAAACCACAATAAAGCTGGTCTTTCCAAAACATTAAGTGTTTTCATTAAAAAACAATAAAAAGGAAATAAGTACATATGAAAATATGTAATACATGTACTTACACAGGCCAACTGAGCATGAAATTACTTCTATATGTAAAAAATATCCCCCTTTTATATATCATACATCAAAACAAGCATTTCTATAATTAACATTTTATTTGTACAGTACAAACATATAAATGTTAATCTATATACATTGGTTTACACCTGTATATTAACAATTAAATGCTTACATCTGATATTAAATAACATTTTCTTAACAAAACTTTTAATATGTACTTTCACATATTACAGTTTCTTGCAATTTTGGTTACACGATATATACACAGTCTAGAAAATTAAGTTTTCACTGTTATCTCACTATTTAATAAATTTTCATTATTTATGACTGCTCAACAAGTTTTCAAATTCCTTATAATTTTTAACATCTGCTGACCATCACCTATTACTCAAGAATTCAATTTCACATTAATAGTTGTTTTTTCAATTTTCCATTTTTGTATGCAAGTATTCTCTCAAGCACACATTTAAAAGTTATTTAGAATGTAAGCTACATGGATCAAGAATACTTTTAAATTTCTAATTTTGACAACAATTTCTTTCAGTTTGTTCACATAATACATGTAAACTATTATATATAATATGGCATGAACAAACTATTCCTACTTATGTAAAATACTGAAATTAGGTGCAAGTTCCCTACACACAGAAAACTTAAAACTAATGCATTTGAAGCACTATACAGTTTATATGGAAAAATATTAAACCATTAATAAATGCATAATTTACCTTTTTTTTTATGTACATTTTGTTATGCCTAAGTGACATAAGTAGGGAAAATAAAATGGTAAGGGAAAAAAATATTATTATTATTATTATTATTATGAGAATGATTTAAAAACATTGAAACATTTTAAGCTTCCATAATGCTTTGGTTTACTATTGGAAAATGAAATGGTAGTTGTTCATGTAGATGCCAAAACTAAAGCTACTTTTAAACACACCAACAAAATGAATAAAATATCAAAATTATATCCTTTTTTTTTTTCTGAGAAGAGGAGCAAATAAAAATTTTTTATATCAAAAATGCTGAAACTCACATTAATTACAGAGAAAGCCCATTTCACCATAGGGACCTATTAATTCCTATATTGTTAGAAACCAGAATATAAGAGACTCATTTAATGTTTATTAAGTCAGTAAATTTACATTGTATCATATGAGGCTGTGATGCACAATAAACATACAGTGTCAAAAAAAAAAAAAAAAAATATAAGCTGTATTAATTTAAGAATAATTAAATATTTACTTTACAAAATTATATACAGTACTGATTATAAAGTATAGTTTTCCTTGAACCATTTAATAAGAAATGTTATGATTACAACATAAATTTTACAACTTCAGCTACAAGTCTAAAATAAAATTGAATTGCATGTTTGAATTATAATTTTATAAAATATTGCCAATGAAAATTACTTTTTCATTGCTTGTAAATGGGTGAAATTTCTTAAAATTAAAAAAATACATTATATCTAACAAAGAGCATGATATGAAAAATAGACTTTAAAAATGGTCTTAAGTTAGTTATGACTACATTTTTCCTAGTTCTCTTTATTACAAAGAATTATATACATTAGTACATATAACATAATAAATTGATATCATAAACAAAGTTACACTATTTCATTTTTAAAATATTTTCAAACACACAAGCATTTTTTATCTCCAGGAATGTACAAGTATTTTATATTTTACCAGAAACACAATTCTCACACGTTTAATTAGTTACGCTCTTACTATTTCATTTTTAAAATATTTTCAAACACAAGCATTTTTAACTCCAGGAATGTACAAGTATTTTATAACTCATTTCTACATTTACCAGAAACACATGATTTACACACGTTTAATTTTTTGTGTATACAAAGCATAAGTTAAAAAAAAATTTTTTAAGTTCCAAACTTACTAGAATTCATTTGCAATATAACTAACAAAATCATACATAAGATGAGACATCTTTGAATGTAAAGTAATTTTAACTCTCTAATGAGAGAGAAATCTTTTCATTGAAATATATCCTTGAATAAGTAATGTATAAATGTTTATTTCAACATGATTAGACTAAATAAGTTTTTACATGTAAAATATACTTAGAGCTAACTGTATGTACTTAAAATAATTTTCATATCTTACAGATATTTCTTACATATAATTTATGTACTTGTTAATGCATGTAAGGAAACATATCTTAAGCTAGTGAACAGTGATATGAAATAATTATATTTTCAGACAAATTCCAAAAATACATATGGCTAAAAACACTCATATTTTCAATAGGCAACATTTTTCTTATGTTCTCCAGTTTCTCACTTTAAAGTGCCTAATCTGAAAATATGGGGTTGATAAAACAGGAATGTACAATAGTTAACTTTCTAAAATAAGGCATTCTAAGAGCTCCAGGTTGATTTTTAATTATTCAACTTCTGTGTTATAAATACAGCTTTTTTTTAACTTTTATGATATGTGTGTGTGTGTATTACTAAATCACCACAAAGGATTTAGTGTCCAAAAGAAACACAAGTTAATTTACTAGATATGCAAAAAGTACATACATTCAGAAAATATATAGAGATGTATATGTAGATGACAAAAAAAACAACAGCTAAATATGATATACAAATCAGGGCCTAAGGTTCACCCCATGCAACCTAATCCATTTTGCCACAGATTAATCATTATTTAGAGAACATAATTTAAATTGAAAAAGTCATGAATATACAGTACCTTAATTTTCCACTTGAAAATACCGTAATCTCTACTCTTTATACCTTACATGTTTTAATGTAAAATATTGAATAATATCATAAACTATGTCAACAGCTATAGTAGATGTTCAACCAATCTTACTGTTAATCAGCAATAAAATAAGGAAGAAAACAGTTGCTTGAAACATTAATGTTATTTTACAAAAAACAACTCTAGCTAATACTGTTTTATCATGCAAGCACATGTATCTATCTTTCTGTAATACATGCAGGTAATATTTCATTCTATGAAATACGCATAATAAAAAGTGTATTTTCTAAGTATGGAACAGAATAATAACACAATTCAGTTCAGTTTTTTTTTCCCATTAAAAAAATTCATGGACTAATTAATCCACAAATTGTAGAAGACAATCAGTAAATTTAATTAGGTTAAAAAAGAACCTAAAATAACAAGGTTTTCTCACAAAACTGTATATTCTTATAAAAATAGCTGTAGTATTTGATTGATAATATTAAACACTGGGTATATTGCTCTATAAAATTTTATCTAAATTTATCTAATACCAATTAATGTATTAGTATGCTTTAAACTATATAATACTAGGAGGTTTTAAAGCAATTTTTTCAAATATTTCTAAGTCCATACACACTTGTACGTACATATTACAAAAAACAAAATTACTCAGAAAACCCATTAAAGTGTTCCAAACTGACTTTAAAACATTTTTTATTGTAAGAGCTAGTCATGATTTTAAATTTTTTTGCCGATATGAAACTTAAAACTTTAAAAAAAAACCTAAACCTTGTTGCAAAATATTAAGAAAGCTCTACAACATTATAGGGCTGGAATTTCTTGCACAGCTTCTGCCTTAGCACTGAATGGATGACTATTCTAATATGATCCACAATAAAGTACATATACGTACTGACTGAATAGGTACTCGTATAATTATATATAATTATTTGCTATAAACAACCCCTGGGCACTTAAGTTGCATAAATATATATATAATATATATATTTTTTCATATCTGTGACTGATATATGCCTACAAAGAAGAAGACTTAAATAAAACTGAATAATAAATGAGAGGAAAAACGATCATAGATTAGATAAAACAAATCTATGAATTACCTACTTTAATCCACTAAATGTTTTTCTTAAACAACTGAAAATATATGTACCTATGTGTAAGTAGAAACAAACAAACTATAAATTATAGCCAATAAATTCTCTATCAGTTGAGAAAATTATTCACATACTTTACATTTCTTCTGCACTTCTCCTGAAAGACAAACATGTCTAGCTCCATTCAAAAAGGCAAAGCACAGAATACTGAAAGACCACGTTAGTTATGGTTCCTGGAAACCATAAATTCTATAATGTATTAGTGGTTTTCAGCTTCAATTATAGATGCTTAAAGTATTCTATCTAGACAGGAAAAGTTTTATACAGCTTCTGATACAATCATAAACATGTGAAGCATTTGAAGAATATGAGCTCAAAAAACATCATCACAGATCTATAAATGAAATACATTGTACACATAAGGAAATAGATAAATGATCCCATTCAATACATAAAATTGCTCACTCATTCATGTTAGTTAATGAAAACTTATATTGTATGTTGTAAATTATTTGGATGTGTCAATGCTCATTAGTGAAAATAATAAAAAACAAAAAAGAAACTACACCTGCATATCCAATAACATAAGTAGATGTATAGATAAATAAAGATCCCAGTATCATAGGAGAGGTTCACCAGAAACAGTTGCAGAGATACGATCTAAAAGATTTTGAAGATGGTATTGCAAATTTTTTGAATTTTTTTCTCTAGCAGTCTGAAAGGCTATTTTTTGAGACCCATGTTGCTTTCTAAATCCAAAATCTAGTCTAGTGTCCTGTGATGCACTTAGTTTCTGTTGAGATAAGTAGCTGGCAGCACTACGAGGGAAGGGTAGATCTCGTCTGCGACTCTGGTGTGTCTTCTCTGGGTTTAATGGTACAGATAAGTCTAATGAATCAACAAATTCCATTTGCCTCAAGGGGTCCCTATGAAATGTGGTATGTAAAGGATCAAACTCACTACATATACTGTCCATATGCTTTGACTGTGTATTCCTCTCCAACTTCTCTAAAGCATCTTTATTATAAGAGAGACTTTTAGTATTATGAATATTCTTGAATTGAAAGACTGGAGATGAAGTTTCACTTTGAGACAATGAGCCCTGTTTTTCTATTACTGTAGAAACTTGACATGTTTCGGAAGGTTTGTTTTGAGTAAAGGATGAACATGACAAAACATCTAAAGCAGGTGATGAATGGGGACTGTTATTCATTGGTAATAATGTAAAATCATGACGACTTTGTCTACAATGAGATGGGCTTTCAAAATCTAATGAATGATGACTACTTGAAGATTCCCCATGTTGAGTTGAAGTAATAATATCATAATGTCTAATGTTTTCAGATTGGGTTTCAGGGCATGTTAAGTTCAAAAAAGAGCTTTTGTCATTCTCACTATACTTATTTTGCACATAGTTATTTAAAACAGGATTTGCATATATAGTTTCTAATGGTAGAAATGGAGGAAGACTATACGTGTCTGGACTGCTTCTCTCAGAGTTCATAACCAATGTAGGCTCATGAAGCTGTTGATACTTGGAATGATATGCAGATGTCTGTTTAGAAGATTTGCCTATCTGTCGCTTAAGTTCTTGGTTTTCCCGAATTAAAGAACAGAGATCTTTCTTAAGCATGAAAACTTTGGCATGCATTGATTCTAATTCTAATTTATTTGCTTGCAGCATAAGACAGAGTTCTTCCTTCTCACTCTGAAGCTGCTTGAGTTGAACTGTCAACTTGTTCTCAACTATCACATTTGAAGTTTTATGAATTTCTTCTAAGTGTTGAATCTTTGTTTGTAAAATTTCATTTTCTAACACGTATGTAATCAGTTGTTGTTGAAGTTTCAAAATATCACTTTCCTTAAGAACAGAGGAAACTTTGTTCTGACAGGACAGTGTTGCCTGAAGACTAGGGTCACTTTCCTTAAAAACAGAGGAAACTTTGTTCTGACAGGAGAGTGTTGGCTGAAGACTAGAGGAAGCTGCTTCATTTCTTGGCTGACTGATTTTAGGTTGGGAAATATTTTCTGTGAGTTTACCTTCTTTCCACTGCTCAGCTTCATTTCCCTGATTTTTAACATACTGAAGATACAATCCATGAATATGATATTCCAGTTGTTCTTTTTCTAATAATATTGTTTCAAGTCTTTCTTCAAGCCATTTTTTTTCCTTTTCCAGTTCATGACAAGCAGCCTCCAAATGTACAACTTTGTTGAACAGGTCACTTCTTTCCTTTTCAACTTGTTTAAGTTTGATTTCTACATTTTGCACTGTTTGGTGTCTGGATATAAAATCTTGTTCATAGCTTGCTAAATAATTCTCACCTTTTATATCATGCTGTTGATTCATAACATCTATTTGTTTTCTAAGCAAAAGTCCCTTCTGATTAATAACATCCAAAAGAGTTGATAGTTCATCACCAGCCCCAAACATGCACATACAAGATTCTTTTTGAATCTGTTCTTTTCTTTCGCACATGGCAAAATTGCTAGGATTACTAACAAAAGTTAAACTACTTCCCTGTCCTTGATCACGACAGTCTGAATCCAAGCCACTATCCTGTTTATTGTCACTTTCCATAATCAATTTTCTTTTTGACTCGGCATGTCTAGTACTACTGTTACTTGCAGACAAGTGTAGTGAAGAGGAATAAGAAGATCCCAGTCTTCCAGAACTGCTCTTTGGACATTCAGAAACCAAGTTAGTTGGTTGAGGAAATGGGAACTGGTGAAGAAGCTTGTTGTATGGATATTTCCTATCACTGAGACATCTATATTTGTAATCACGTTGTACTAATTGTTGCTCGATGTCTTGAAATAGTGTGATGGCATTGGTTTGGAAATGTTCAGCAGCTGTCAATCGGTCTTGAAGTTCCTAAAGCAAGAAAAAGAAATGTTTATCACATTAAACATTAAATTTAAATTGAATTTTCAACAAGGTTTAAAGAATTTTGTGCCCATGTCTAAGAGTTTAAGTGCAAGGGAGTATGTCAAAATGAAAAGCTAACTTGTGTATTTCATGGATCACTGGCTAAGAATAAACAGCTAGCTTCCATTCAATAATGATTATCTATCACTTAAAGGAATAATCATTTAGATAATGTAATAATGTCCATCCAAACATAGATACAGTATAATTATTATCCATTTAAGAGGTTCATAACATAGTTATAAAAGTAATCAAAGGGCACACTGTAAAATCATAAAATGTCACAATAAAACTGAAATAATAAAGTTTTTGTCACATGTGTTTGGAATTACTTAAAATTCAGAGTTTTCAAACAGAAAATTAAAAAGCTGTACTTCTGTAACTAAGGTACTTGTGGATTACAAGTAAAGTAAGAAATTAAAAAATTACATGAAATTCAGCTTTATAAATGCATTTATATCTACTGTAAGCAATTTGTTTTAAATATAAACTTTTCTCACAACACGTTTCAAAACGTATGCGCTGTTAAGCATATCATATTGTTTAATAGTGTTCAAAGAAAACTTAACAGAGATTTGAAAGCACCTTCAAAATATACATTGTATGTAAAACATTTTTTTTGTTTTTAAAATTCTATAAAACTCCAAAACTAGGATCCCAATAAATTTAAACCAAACCATAGTATACTTTAAGGTATGTGCTTCACAGGTGTACTGACAAGCTCTTTAATGTTTTTACAACAACAAAATAAATAGTTTACCACTTTCTTTATGGCAACTTGGTAACCAATTCTAATTGCTATGTTTGGTTTCAGTGTTTATTTGGGTTGACAACAATACAGGATAGTTTGCCAGTTTTTAGCTCCTACTAAAATAAAATACAAAACAATTATCACCTTTGTAGGGAAAATCAATCACTGCTAAAATTTCTATGATGAATTGTTGTTTAGTTGGTTGATGGGGATTTTATGGCAAAAAGCACTAGGGTTATCTGCACCAAACAGTCGATTAATTTGGGGAATAAAATTTGAAATGAAATGTAAAATATGACAAAATGCACAGAAAAATAAAAGAATAGACTAAAACATGACAGAAGTTTTAATTATGTTCATCGCAACAAGTTTAACATATTAAATAGAATTAAAAAGCACACTGGGCCATAAAAAAGCTAAAAACACAATCAATCAGGACAGTGTCACCATCACCAATGACACTGTCTAATGTCAAAGGCAAATGCTGAGAAAAAATTTCTAAAATGGTGCCATCACTGGCAGTCATAGCAATAGCATAAAAGTAAAATGTGGGCAATTGTGACTTAACTGCCACAAAAGCCAGACATTGATGGATCAGACCCTTGTAAAAGAAAATGATGAGTAATGAAACTGGCCATTGTGTAGCATAGATAACTTCCTCTCTCTCATCCTTACGGAAACTAGATGGCCAAAAAAACTATCATCAATATTATAAAAGCTCAATTGTTTTATTTGCATTGTTTTTGTTTTATGTTAGGCTTCAATTGTCTGGAGACCAATTAGCATCAGAACTTTCTACAATGGAAGAACCAAAGTCACACGGGTTACATGTGTCTTCATACAAGTAATGATTGAAACACTTCCACATTCTATTGTTTATAATTCAACCCATAGTATATTCAGTACCAAACTAAATGCACTACATTGTAAGAAGCATCATACAGTAGGCACTAGTCAACATAGTTGCACATGTACATGTGTTTACCTATGTATGTACTAAACTGTTAAAGAGTACCATATCCTGAAACTAATAGTCACCATTTGCAACATCAACAAAACAGAAAGAAAAACACAGCAAAAATAACTGCCCCTCGATATGTAAATCTAAAAGATATTTTAACGTACTGAATCAGTTTTCAGCAGACAGTATGTAAAGCTACATGTGATATAAGGCAGTCAATCAGTTGTAGGCATAAATAATTTATTAACTTATAATATGGTATATTGTGTTTTAAAGTATTTACAATCAGTAACATGATTAATAACCTTAAATTTATATTTTTGTCATTTGGGTTTCAAAAAACATTGAGTACAATGTCACCAGCATAGATTATCTCACAATACTTAAATATACTGCAGTATTCGTACATACAGAAACACAGGTGTCGCTAGGCACTGGCACACGGGGCCCATACCCATAATCCTCAGTTGGTGTCTTGAAAAATCAGAATAGAAAACCATGATCGATATCATAATGAAATGCCAAAAATTACCTCGCCTGTGGGCCCAAGCCCCAAATCCTTTAAGAACCTAGTGATGCCTATGTACAGAAACAACATGCAATATTATAACTTTTCTTTGATTTTAAATAAATATTAGCACAATCCTAAACATACTCAGTCCATAATCCAGCCATTCTAGTCTAAATTATGTAGTAGCACAAGATTACAGAAATTTATTTCATTACCTAAAAGTCCTGATCTTGAAAATGTAGCACAAGCCTAAATATATTCAGTTTATGATCCAACTGTTCTCATCTTGATAATGCACCAGCATAAGACTACAGAAATGTATCTTATTACCTGAAAGATCTACTATTGAAGATGTATTAATACAAGACTTAAGATATTCAGCTCATGATTTGACTGTCTTGCTTTTAAAGGTTGTAATATTTATTTAATTTTTAAATAATGTTTTAGCAGAAACTTCTAATATCAACAAAAGATAACTCCAAATGTGCCCTTGTTACTTTATGGATATACAACAATCAAACAAATATATTTACACATTACCTATTTTTCTATAATCAAACAAGATTCAGATTTGAAAATGATCTTCCAGTTAAAAGAGACACTCAGTGAATACTTACAGGTTCAACATAAAAAGCTAACCCTTTCTTTTTCACTCCTCTATACAAATTTAACTGTATAAAATAAGGTGCATTAAAGTATGCTTTCATAAAGGATGTTCCACTTACTTAGACAATGACTGTGATTAAACTATCTACAGAGGCAGAAACACTTCACTTCAGTGTAACTGAAAAGTCCATTTAGAGTCACTCCCAATACAGAATTTAAATAGGTTAACCACACAGAGTTGCTCAGCCTGTCAGTAGGATGACAGAGTAGGTGATACACCTAAGTGTACTTTGTTAAAAGAAACAAGTTCTATAGGAAACATACATGTAGGAGTGAAGTATTCTATATGTATCACGTGGTTCCTAGTTTTTCTTCATTACTTAAAATTCTCTAAACTGCAACAGGTTTTCAAAGTTTTCATTGTTAATTAACAATTCAAAATGACAGACATAATATTATTGGAAATAAATTAATTTCCATGTACATTTAAAGTGCAATGAATCAAGCATGACCGATGCAATAAAATAAAGTAACAACAGTCTACTTATTAAAATCATGTTACTTAAATGAGATAAAAATGTAGTTATCACACATGTTGAATAAAGGTATTGAACACCAGAAACTACAAAGTCCACCAAAACTAAAGTATTTCTAGTCTACTGAGTGTATGTCAATAATTTCAAAATTCATCTAACAGTCAATATGAAAACATCATGATATACACATGCACAGAAATACAGCTACATCTACACATGTGTAATACAAACAAGTAGTAAAACACTGAGATCACTGAAGACAATGCAGACATCTACCATGAAGGGAGACATTTTTAGGGTTTCATAAATATTGTTACTAGCTGGCAATGTAATTTTAACATAAATTAATTTCTGTTTCTGTTTCATATCAATTTTTTTTCATCATACTCATAATTTCTAGCTTTTTTGAAATATCAGGCAGGCGGTAATACTGTATGTATGGATGACCTGGATTGCTCATCTAAATGGTATTTTAAATATATCCTCAATAGGTATTCAGAACTTTACAATACTATATAGTGTTTCTACTATACAGTCTGTAAATATCATAGTAAAGAGTTTGAATTTCTTGTTCTGTCTGCTGCTTCTTTTTTATTACATGATAACTCAAAAACCAAAACAATGGTACTGACCAATTTCACTGAGGTGACAGTTTCAAACAAAGTTTCTGCTTTTATAGATATTATTAATAACTAGCAGTAATTTAAAAAAAATCATAATTCTAGTGTAAATGATGTTATCATTACCCCTTGAAGTTAGCTTTCTTACAAAAATTTGGTGTTCCTTTAAAAAGTTTAAGTACAGGGTGAAATAAGAATGACCAGCCAATAATAAACAATAAATATTACAGTTGGAACCTCACTATATTTAGAACTTGGTTATAAATACAACTTTTCTATGTCTATTGAAACACTGCATTAAAAAAACAACAAGCAAACAAGTAAAGAAAAACTTTTCAAAAAAAGGAAGTACATGTAGGGATGGTTAATATCAATCCTTCAAAAACAATGCAAACAAGATAGTAGAGATGGCGTTTATATCATCTGTATATAATAGTACAAGCAAGAATTCAAATATAGCAATGTATATAATTATTCAATCACAAGTGAGTTTAATTTAGCCTAGTTTTGTCTGTTAACATTCTACTACTCTGTGTGCCTGTGCAATTATGAAGGGATGATGCAAGTGCCATCCCTGCTATCTTGTTTGCATTCTTTTTGAACTGTTGATATTTTCTTTACTTGTTTATTTAGTCTTGACTTACAGCAGTTTATATTAAAACTATCTCATGAAAGGCATACTGTACTTAGAAAAAAACAAATGATTTAATACTAAAGTTTTTGCTACTAACTTAATTCCAATATAATGATGCTTTACTTTTGGTTTATCTATCTTTATTATGAGATAGATTTTTTTCACTGGGTAAAACATTTACAACTTATTTTAAAATTACTATTCCCATTGCCCTCATCTTCCCCCAAACTATACTATAAAATGTGAATATGTTATAAGAATTATATGGACTGCATACAAACGGTCACTTTAAAATTTCCGAAGCAAGATAAGGATTTTAGTATTATAAAAATGCTGATTAAGTTACATTTTACATACCTTAATGGCAACTAAAGACTTCGCATGTTCCTTTATGAGGAAATAAACAGGTGCTGGAATGGCCATCTCTGATTGACAGGTACTGTGTGGATGACTGTTTGTAGAACTGTCTTCCTTGTGGTCAGTTCCAATCTTACAGTTTTCACGGAGAGTCTCGCAGTCAGCAGCGTCCTCATAGCTTAAGCTGCGAGTCTCTGTCCTCTGGTGCTGAAAATATACCAAAAAAAAACGTACTTTGAGAAACCAATGTTAGTTGCCTTGACTCATCTGTCATAATACACATGCTGTGTAATACGTTTTCTAAAAACTCCTGCAATCAAAACGAACAATTTTTGGTATATTATATTATATAATATAATTATAATATTAATATAATTATAATTAATATTTTATAATATAATATTATATATTATATTATATTTTGGTATATTATATTACGATTTTTGGTATATTATCCATAAACTGATATGAGAGCTAGTCTTAGCGACTATATTTGTGGCAGGCAGGTTATGTCTATAACGTTCCATATTTACTTTTTTTTGCAATAACAGAATATATACAACTGTTAGGTAACTAACAGGCATATTATAGAAGCCTTATGAAACGTCTCCCTTTTTCTGTGGTACTTCAGACGGTGAAACTGATATTTTCGGTTTACATGAACTAAAATGTCACGTATTTTGCATCTACAATCTCGTGTGTAGTCATGTACAGCATAACTACATGGTATACCTGAGAAAACTGAAAATATATTGAACACTATATATATAAATCAAACCCGAGTAAAAAACAACAACAAAAGTCTACTTTTTGAACCGCACTTTCTGATGTTGCTGTACGAATCGGAAAACATAATTACATGAAAATAATACAAATTGTTCGTGCCTTGGAAACACTGAAGAAAATCCATGAAAATGATCTACGGAAGTGAACACAGAAAAATATACATGTCGAATTTCATAACCCAAATTAACGTCAACTTCAATGACGACTTTCTTAATACTTGCCAGTTTCTAAAATCAAGTTTTCACATTTAATCCTTACCTTAAAAATCTGATTTGTAAATGACTTAAATAGAATTAATAATAATTACAGTTAACTTACTTAATCTAGTTCACACCATAACAGTCGTTTTTCATGAAAACCGATTACATAAATAACGCCTAGACCACAATTATGTCTGTTGTATTCCAGCCGCCCTGATAAGCCTTGGTATTTGGTCAAAAGCCTTGTCAGCACTTTATATGGCAGAGAAAATATTCTTCTTTGGTTTCACTTACAATTGCTTTTAGTTCTTTAAAAGATCAGCTGTTCGAAAATTATTCACACACTCACGTACATCGAGCTACGTGCAAGTTTCACTCCTCTTTGTTCAACTCCGTTCATCATACATTAAGCTTCGCTCAAGGTACATTGAACTAGATTCGGCAAACAGCTACCTCTCCTGCTGCAACCAAGTGTACACCGTAACGACCGATAGAGGGAGGGTCATTCACTTAATGTGTCGAACGTTCTCAATTTCACGAAATCGTAATTCGATTGAACCATCGTCATTCTTATCAGCTTGTCAAATTAAGTAATTAACTGAACAAACCTGTCAAATTATTTAATTAATCGAATAAACATTTTGATGGTTAATTACATCTAGGCTCAGAAGAGAGCTGATGTAAAAAAAATATTTATTTTTCTATGATGGACGTATTATGTTTTAGTATTTCACCAACACTGCTAATTCAGACTACTGACTAAACATCGCCGACTTCTCTTTGCATACGAGAAGATAAATGTTGAAGTTGTCTTCTCTTTACAGGCAATGTTCAGGCAATACACCTTTCAAATCTTCAGAAGAAGAAGAAAAAAAAGGTCAAAACTGCGGTATATACAACGAAGTTTTATATTTCAACACTTGTAACTAGTAACAAAAACAAGGTTTTTGAATAGGAAATGGTACGTATATATATGTGTGTGTGTGTGTTGTGTTTACACGAAATTGTGTTTCAATGCTACAAGCATTGAATTTTTCCTAGACTAAAAGTTCACGCGTTGCTTTGACAAGTCAATAGTTAAAATGTCAAGTACCATTTAAAACGGATACACTTTCTATACACAGAACTTCAAATTTAACATGTAGTATATACAACTGAAGATGTTTCAGCATTTTTTTTAAACATTTCTGTGACCAAACACACCTTTTAATTTAATAAAAAAATGTGTCAACTATGAATTACAGGTGGTATATTCTCTAGGACGTCTGTAAAAAATCAAAAATATAGTTAAACATGCCATATGTCCAATAAAGTCTTAGGTTTAATTGCTTGTCCTTATGTGGATAAATATAACAAACCCAAGAGAATAGAACTTGCACTCTTTAGAACCCAGTCAAAAAGGAATTAAACATGGAGGTATACAGTGAAATAACACAGTGAAAAAGGAATTAAACATGATGGTATACAGTGAAATAACACAGTGAAAAAGGAATTAAACATGATGGTATACAGTGAAATAATAAAGTGAAAACCCAGTGAAAAAGGAATTAAACATGGAGGTATATAGTGAAATAACACAGTGAAAACCCAGTCAAAAAGGAATTAAACATGGAGGTATACAGTGAAATAACACAGTGAAATTTGTCCCAAGCCCCTTGAATGGGAAGAAATGGGCAAACAAATTATAAGATTGTACACTTGTTTTATTGATTGAAAAAAAAATGCTTTTGACTTGAGTAATAGGAACAAATGCAAAAAAATATGAAAAGAGGTCTTGTTAAATCATCAGTTTTAAATTATGGACAGTTAACTGATATGTTAATTTCACCTAATGATGAAGCAAGACAATATCATATACTTTCACCCATGTTTTCATCAATTTTAATACATTTATTGGGGTATATAAATTTCGAAGGAAATCATGCAATTAGTGTTAATGAAAAAGCTCTCAGAACTTTGGTACGAGTATCTCAAGCTTGTATATGAATGAGAAACTTAACACACAAGTTCAGCGACGTTATATGAATACAGCCTTGTCAAAAGTCTTAATATTACTTGTATTCTCTTCTAGTCAAACGTTTGATATATACGTATACTTGTTGTTTAAGACTCGTTACGTGGGTAAATTAAAACGAATCGCAAATAAAAGTACTTTAACTTAGAGAAAAGTCCGTGTATAATACGCTTTCGGCCCTCTTACCGGAGCCTTCATCGTGCAACAATGTATTGAGCGATAAAATTTCGTTAAACTGTGTTTTTTGTTGTTGTTGTTTTGTTTTTATAATCCTATATCCTAATAATACTAATCTCTGCTGGTGTAACAACTATATTAAAGTGATTCGGAATCTCGTCCTTAAGCTTTGGCTTTCATTTTGTTGAGATAAGGAAGCATAAGCCGAAAACGATTTCCGACCGTGGTTTTACAACTTCCTAATTAATACATGTTGCTCATATCTTGTGAAATGTGATTTGATAAATGCAACTTCAAAAAATAATTCACACAAAGCTCTGCTACGCTGTTGTCTGTATAATATCCTTCTCAGGAAGTTAGATAACGTATGTGGGAAGGAGAGAGTGAGTGAGTGTGAGTGTGTATGTTTAGTAAAACTTCATAAATGATTTTCATTTTTCGAAATTAAGAACTGTTCCGTATCTATGACGACAGATTTTATATATTTATAGTTCTTGTGATAACTTACAGAAATTACCTTTCAAATTCCTTCTAAACACCGTGTAACGTAAATACCGGCAGGAAGTTGTATGCGGTTCACCTGCCTCTGACGGTTTGTTTGTTTATAATTAAGCACAGTGGGGGGCGCCTCTGACGACCCCAGTAATTTTGAATATTTATGTTATACAGTTCAATGTTTGTTTGTTTTGGCGCAAAGTTACACAGTAGATACGTTCGTTGCGTCCGATGGGAGGATTGAACCCCTAATTTAACCTTTTGGTGAAGTCCCCAAACTCATTGCTGGGCCACCGAAGAACACATTTCAGTGAGCGATGACGTCAAATTTTACTCAGAAGTGTCATTCTTTTGTTCACTAAACTTTAATGTATAATTTACTAGCAGATACCAGCAAAACAAGAGTGGTCCGTAACCTATGGATTTTTTGGTGATTTACCTTACCAAGTTTGAAATACACGTTATAATTTATAATTTACCAACAGAAATCAGCAAATCAGGAGTGGCCCGTGACCTGTGGAATTTCTCAAGGATTTACCTAGCTTAGTTTGAAATATACGTTTGACATCTCAGCATGTAAAAAAGAACATGAAAATCCTCTATGCTGTAATGGTAAACAAAGACACAACAAATTACAAAGGTTGTCCCAAATATAAGGACATCAAACAAAGAATATATAGCATACATCACAATATCGAACCCCCACAAACAAACACAATTTAATGAAATAAATCAAACTCAAATGATAGTAACAAAAATACCCCCACTGCCCACACCAATATCAAAACCAACAATTTCAACTACTCAGATGTCATAAACTTATACCTATGCAGCAGCCGTGCTTTGACCAAGTAACAAGCAAATATATCAGTACAAACACGGAAAAATGAGAAAACAACCACAGAACAACATTCAAAAAGAAACGCAAACCTAACAATTAATAAGATAAATATCCAGCAATCAGTCTATTCAATTAACCCTATCACAGATGCAGTCAGAAACACCTTTACATACCTCATCCACGAATACAAAAAAATCCACAGAAGCAAATACATGGCATTACCTTACTTTTTAAAATAGCCAAGAAACAGTTCACTCAAATAATTCCACATACAATTCAAACATTTATGAAGTGTGAAGAAAAGCAATGTTTTTAGCCCTGTTGTCGTGAATTATTTGCTAGTATTTGTCAGTTTAAATAGAAACCACAAAGGAGGAAGGAAGAGGTCTAAATTACATCTGACCCCCCCATGTTGCGACTAACAACAACGCGACCAAATACCGATATATTTGTTTTTGAATTACGCGCAAAGCTACACGAGGGCTATCTGCGCTAGCCGTTCCTAATTTAGCAGTGTAAGACTAGAGGGAAGGTAGCTAGTCATCACAACCCGCCGCCAACTCTTGGGCTACTCTTTTACCGACGAATAGTGGGATTGACTGTCACATTATAACGCCCCCACGGCTGAAAGGGCGAGCATGTTTGGTATGACATGGATTCGAACCCGCGACCCTCAGTTTGCGAGTCGAGTGCC